ATAGTTGCTCTTGGTTGAATTCCATCCATCAAAGAAGACTTCTTCTCCACTATAGCTCTCCCCCTGAGGAGAAGTCTCGGAGGCTCCCCCTGAGTAATAAGGCTCGGATTCTTGAAAGATGCTTCCAGAGTAATATGCATTTTGTGAAGGATGCGATCATAACACCGGTATCCTTTTTGAAGATCTGAGTAACCCACAAATACACACTTCTTGGCACAAGGATCTAACTTGGTGCGTAGAGGTTTGGGGATATGAACGTACACGGTGCAACCAAAGACCCTAGGCTCCAAGTTTGGAATATGAGCAATAGAAAAAAAAAAAAGACTGCAACTTTTGTTGAGGAGTTTGAAAAGCCAAGACCCGAGAGGGAGTACGATTAATCAAGTATGCAGCTGATTTCACAGCCTCTCCTCAATAAGTACGAGGCATATTCATGCCAAATAGGGATGCCCAGACGACTTCCATAATTTGTCGGTTCTTCCTTTCAGCCAAGCCATTCTGCTGTGGAGTGTAAGTGCAGGAAGTTTGATGCCTTATGCCATGGTGACTAAGAAAATCAGTAAAATTCCTATCAAGATATTCCATGCCATTATCAGATTGTAAAACACGAATTTGGCACTGATATTGGGTACTAACCATGCTAAGGAAGTGTTTAAAAGCCATAAAAACATCCCCTTTTTCTTTAATAATCTTACCCAAGTCATCCTGGTGCATTCATCAATAAAAGTAACATAATAACATGCCTTAGAGAAAGAAGGGACCTTGGCAGGGCCCCATACATCCGAATGAATAACTTCAAAAGGAATAGAACTTTTATTACTACTTGGGAAATAAGGAACACGATGACTTGGGAATTCAAAGTACTTGGGAATTCAAAAGGAATAGAACTTTTAGCCAATTCACAAGTACTACAATGGAAATCATAGGAATTCAAAGTTGAAAACAAATGTGGTTGCAATTTCTTAAGGTAACTAAAGGAAAGATGTCCTAAACGCCTATGCCAAAGCCATATGGTTGCTCGAGCCTTATCTTCACTGCTGTCATGCCTTTCCCAACTTATTCATTCCACCATTGGTGATCTCGAAGTAATAAAGCTTGCCTCGTTTAACACCATAACCAAGAATCATTCGAGTGGGAATGTCTTGAAAAACACAAAATGTAGGCCAAAAAGTGATAGCGCAGTTAAGTGCAGTGGTAAGTTGACCAACAGACAACAAATTGTAATCAAGAGATGGAACAATCAGAACTGAATCAAGTTTAATATGGTCAGATAAGATAATAGACCCTTCACCAGTAATAACAGATGTGCTACCATTAGCAGTATGTATGATAGATTGAGAAGAAGGGGATAAGGAATGCAAGTTATTCAAATATGAAATCATATAATCTGAGGCACCAGTATCGATTATCCAAGTATTGTTCCTGGAATTTGCAGAAAGGGCAAGAGTTTTACCAATAATACCTGATTGGGCAACATTAGCAATAGGAGAAGGTGCGTCTTCAGCAGGAGAAGCAAGCATAGCCTTAACAGGAAGCTTTTTTCAGGGACGTTTGGTGAAGTCCCACCATTCAGGGTAGCCAATCACTTCATAGCATCGTTGCTTAGAATGGCCAGATTCACCGCAGTGAGAGCAAAGGAAGGTGTTGGATTTTCCAGAAAAGGAGTCCCTGCGAGGCTTGCTAGGTGCAAAGGTTGGTCCTTGGCATGGTGGTTGAGTGAGAAGGGCTGAATGTTCAGGAACAGAGTTGGTGGTAGTCATGGTTTGTTTCTGTTTAAACTCCCGCCGAACATATGCATAGGCACTTTCAAGGTTCAATTTGGGATCTTTACGCATGATCTCTCCACGTACTTATCAAATTCTGAGTCGAGGCCACTAAGAAAGATGTGCACGCGAAGGCGAGACATGGCAGACTGCATTTGAAGGACACCATTAACAGTGTCAACCTGAGAAGAGGAATGATGATCGATTTCCTGAAAAATAGACACAAGTTCATTAAAATAAATGGATAGAGGACGTCCTTGTTGCTTGGTGGAAAACGATCTTTGGTTCAGTTCAAATAGGCGAGTCTTGTCGGAGCCATCATAAAAGGTTTTGGATAAGGCATCCCAGATTTCTTTGGCCGTTTCGAGTCGGATGAAATGATGCATAAGGGTGGGGTCATAGAGTCAATGAGCCAGCTCTTGACCCGTTCGTTTTCAGTAATCCACACATCATATGCAGGATCATCAGCTTTCAGTTTCTTCGCAGCACTAGTGAGATAACCAGCTTTGTTACGAGCGCCAATACACATATCCATAAGTTGAGACCATAAAGGATAATTCGATTCATCTAGAATGACAGACATAGGGAGGGATGAATTGTCTTGTTGGATGATTATATTCTGGGGTGAGAAATTTGTGATAGGGGTACGGGTAGGGGTTGCAGGTCCAATGTTTTCCATATTGTCGAGGAAAAATTAGAAATTTAGGGTTTTACAGAAGAGGGGATATGATCACTATGTGAGAAATAGATGTACAAATTCTTTTCCTGGAAAAAATCTGATACCATGTCAAACAATGAAATCTGTATATTTCTTCCTTTGTACAGAGGTAATTATATATACAAATTTTGGGCTTCAATCAAGCCACTAATCACTCTAAAAAATAAAGTTAAAATCATAGAATTGATTTCTCTCATCAATCAATTCTATTTACTATTAATTCCTATAATTGCTAACACAATCAAAATCAAATTAATTACTCAGAGAATTGATGTCTCCCGTCAATCAATTCTATTTACAATTAATTCCTATGATTGCTAACACAATCAAAATCAAATTAATTACGGATACTATACAGCTCAACATATATATATATATATATATATATATATATATATATATATATATATATATATAAGGTTTTATAAGAGTTATGTTGTAGGAAAGATGATTGTGTTATGTTATAGAGATTCGTTTTGCCTGCCGCAATTTTTTTTTCAAAACATGCGGGTCCCACAAAATGTTGTGTGTGTAGGAAATTTTTTGTGGTCATGTTAAATGATAAATGTTAACCCCATATATATATATATATGGAAAAATATTTATGCAGTTACTGCAGATAAATTATCTGCATTTTCTCTCAAAATGATGTCATTTTGGAATTGAAAAATTAAATAATTATAATTATAAAGACTATAACAACCCTGAAATAAATTAAAATTACAAAAACATCATGATTTCCGTCCCAAAATGACGTCGTATTAGGCTTACTGCAGATAACTTATCTGCATTAACTGCAGAAAAAGCGAATCATATATGGGGTAAACATTTCTACAGCCACTTTAGATAAGGTTATCTACAACTATCATTTATAACTATGTTCTCCCAGGAGTACATAGTTATAACATTAAAGTTGCTTTTTTCTCTCCTCAGTTACTTTTCATAACTTGTTTGCTGACGTTGAGAGATAGAAAAAAGCAACTTTAATGTTATAACTATGTACTCCCAAGAGAACATAGTTATAAATGGTAGTTGTAGATAACCTTATCTAAAGTGGCTGTAGAAATATTTCTTTGTCTTATCTATTATTAACATTGATCCGTCTTTATATGATTATAATTGTCCACATAATTATATCATGTCTTTTTCAAAATATAATTATCGGCATGTGGCCTGGCTTATTTACAAAAAATGAAAGCCTGATTTAGCCGGTTTAAAAAAAAAAAATAAGACACAAAAATGTATCCAAACAGAATGTAAAATCAACAATACTAGTAATTCCATAAATATTCATAAATTCAATGTATATACAAACAGCATAATATATAACAAAATCATTCAAAAAGTCTGTTTAACCAATAAAATAAGGTGAAATGGATTGAGGAGAAAGAGATGGCTATTACAAGTGGTATAAAAAATATAAAATAAATAAAAAAATAATATACTAGGCCAGCCTGTGAAGCTCTAAGGCCGAGCTTTTGAATTGGAGCCTGATGCCTTTTTTATTAAACGATCTTTTATACAAGTTCAAGCCTTGTGCTAACAACCAATTTTAGACATGTAAATTCAGGCATTCACGAGCCGAGCCAAAGGACCCTAGTTTGTTTAGCACCCCTAGGTCCCACTTCTTTGTGAGAGTGAAAGGATGTAAGGTGTGTCATTTAAAATGAAAATGACACACCTTTTTCCTAATATAACATCAGTAGTAAATTTTGTTTATGTTCATATTTTAGTTTGTGAAAATATGAAGAAAAAAAACATTCTAAAATAAAAGAAGAATTTTTTTAGATACACGCAAAAAAATATAAATTATGAATTTATTATTATTTTTTAATTAAAAAATGCTCTTTAAATCGTTGATTTGTGAAGAAAATTAAAAGGTAAAGATTATGGCAATCCCAAGCCTAATGAATCCACATGGATATTTTTTAGAAAATTATGATGGATTTGGTAGTTAAAATTTATTTTTTAAAAAATGAAAATAGATCATAATTTTTCTAATATTAGGATAGTTTATTCAAAAAATTTCTATACTAAAAAAATAAAAATAAAAAAGTTCAAAAACCTCTGTAATTTTTACCCCCTGCACTTGTGTTTTTAATCTTACCAATTTTTTAAAAGAAATATATTTTATATAACACACAAAAAATGGATATGATCTCCTAAAAAAAAAAGAGAAATAAAAAAATGAGTCATATCTATTTTATAAGATAATTTATTTTGCAATCGGAGAAACATAATTTTTTTTTAATCACTTATTTCTGAATGCTTCTAATTTTAAACATTTATATCCGCATTTGAACTTGTGCCAATTATATAACACGAAATAAGGTATAGCTAACGACAGAAAGAAAGATAAAGCAAAGTGGGTACACGTGAACCGTAGGTGGGGTGATGAACGGTGATTGATGAACGAGGTTCACGCCACTCTGAATGTTGCAAGAAACACACAAGAATTTCGCACTACTACTTACTACTTACTACCAGAGTCTACATTCACACTATGCCAAAACAATGAACAGGAAATTGCAATTGCAAATTGCAAATTGCAAAGCAACAATTTAAACTGTTCCTCTAACGTCAACTCGAACTCCTGTTATTTCTGTTCCTTTTTTCTCTAGTTACTGTTACTTTTCTCCCGTTTCTCTCGCCGACAACGTAACGGTTCGCGGTGGCCGTTTCCGGTGTCACCGCCGATCTCTCTCAATCTCCTCCGCCAGATTCACCGGAACTTGTTATCTCTTCTCATTTCGGATTTACACTCTACTTACTTCCTTTCTCTTTCTCCGTCGCAACACAATCAATTTGAGGTATTTGTTAATTTCTTCTTTTCCTTTTTTATTTTATTTGTTGATGTTAGTTTTCTATTTGAGTTTTTGATGTGCAAATCAAATCAAATCGAATCATGTGGTATTATTACATGTGGTGGTGCTGTTGTTGAGTTTGATCTTGGACATTGATCTTTACTTCACTTGGCATTGCTCGCCCTAGCTTCTGGATTCTTGATTTTGTGCCTCTACATTATTCTCTGCATCCTATTTCAAAAAATATAGTTGATTATTGGAGTGAGCATTTTTTGTTGTTGTTTATGAAGTCACGACAACTTACAACGACTCAAGATTATTAGTATAAGGACATTGCACTTGCTATTGTGCAAGTTCATAGGGAAAACCAAAAAATGAATTGTGGTTTTGTAAAGAAAAATAGGCTAAAGCTTATAGGATATCATCATGTTTGCAATTTTAATGAGCACGGAATTGGAACTTTTTTTGGCTATGAATTATAGGCTTTAAGAAGCTTAGTTTTGAAGAAATACATGAGTTTTAGTAACAGTATCATTATTTTCAGATTGAGTTGCTTGGATGCTATGCTATTTGGCTTAACCGGTTTTCTTTTCCTTCAATGTCAGGAATACGAAATGATAGGATCCTTTCTTACCTGGGCGCTTGTGTATGTTTCATGCTGTCCTAAATTTTCAATCTATCTGATATAAATGGTTTGCATTGTAATATTTGAAATTAAATAATTTTTTGTCCTTTGATGTATTGCAGGATGGTATTTGGCTATGCTTATCCAGCCTATGAATGTTATAAAGCAGTTGAAATGAATAAGCCGGAAATTGAAAACCTTCGCTTTTGGTGCCAGTATTGGTATACATTATAGACTGATTCACTTTACTAAACTTTGACTTGATAACTTATAGGGATAAATACTGATACAAACTTTCTTTTCCCTGTGTTGCAGGATTTTGGTGGCTGTTATAACAGTATGTGAGAGAATTGGTGATACTTTTATATCATGGTAGAGGATTCTATCTTGGGTGTGTTCATAGAATGCTATATCTGCTTCTTTTTTATTCGAAAATAGTTTTTTATGACTTATTTTTTAATGAACTTTTCATGAAGGGTGCCATTGTACTGTGAGGCTAAGTTGGCATTTTTCATATTTCTGTGGTACCCCAAAACAAAGGTATACATTTATTTACTGTGGTAGAATCTGATATTACTTTATTATTTGCTTCTTTTCAACTTATGTTTAAAATTTGATATATCTGTTTTAGGGAACAACTTATGTGTATGATTCCTTCTTTAAACCATATGTTGCAAAACACGAGACAGAAATTGATCGCAGCTTGTTGGAACTAAGGACAAGGGCAGGAGATATTGCAGTTTTGTATTGGCAAAGAGCTGCTAGTTATAGTCAGACTAGAATATATGACATTTTGCAGTTTGTTGCTGCACAATCAACCCCAGCACCTCGTCCTGCTCAGGTAGTTTATTACGATTATGTGTTGGTTTTGTCTGCTGTTATGTTTGAATGTGACTTAATATGCTAGAATTTCAATGAAGCAAAATGGTAGAATTTCTATTGTCAGATTTCTTATATATGGAATTGGGTTGTGCCGCTTAGCTTCTATCTTCTGTTGTTTAATGCCAAGATATGTTTTTTAATTATGTATAAGTGCATTTAGATGTGCCTACCAGAATATAATTAAACTCATAAACAACATATAAATACATGTTAAATTATTAATCTAGGAAGGAGATATATTTTGCATAAGGAAAGAAACTAATGCCTGGAGTGACTCTCATTTTTTCTAAAGGAAGATGGAAAAAATTCTACATATCTATTATTTCTTTTTCCGTGATATTGTTGAAGATACCGCTATTCCATTTGAAGCTCGTTCATTGTTAAACATTGTAACTTCAATTTTGTAGATTAATATTAGATTGGTCCTTAAGATGGATATTTTTGTGTTCTCTGCTGCATCTTATGCTATCTTTGAGGGCTTTAACTCACTTCCATCTCATTCTTCTTTATGCATTACTCATAAAAAAAAAAAAAAAAAAACTTGTGTCTTGAATTCACAGCAACGACCAGGTGTGAAGGTCCGTCAACCTGCACCTGCTAATTGCCAAACAGAACCACAAGTTGAGGAACCTCCATCTCCTACCTCTAGCACATCTTCGAGTCAGCTCCAGAAGGAGGTAGCAGAAGAGTTACACTCTGCACAAGTGCCTAAAGCAGCTCCTGTAGTGGGTTTAAGTAACCCAAAGTCTCTTGTTGCGGGTTTAAGTACTCAGAAGTCTCCTGTTGCAGGTTTAAGTACTCCGAAATCTCCTGGAGCAGGTTTAAGTACTCAGAAGTCTAATACTACGTCTGAAACAACCAACCAAGCTGCACCAGCAGAGGCAGAAACAAAGCAGATTGAAGCAGCAGCACCGTCATCTTCTTTAGCAAATGAAAATGGGAACCCTCCTATAAAGGAGACCATAATGGAAGAAAGCATTCGAGTTACACGGGGCAGACTAAGGAAAAACCGATCAGCAGGAACCCGCTAGCGCATCATTATTGTTAATTTTTAGCCTGAAATAGTGGCAGTTGAACAATAATGAGCATTGATTTGTCGTAAAACTTTATGTAAATCTGTCGTCCTCAGTTTTAATTCCATTTGTTGCTTCATTTTATTTCTTTCTTTTTTTTTGTCTTGGCATGGAAGCTTTAGTAGCTTGATGCCACTTTATATGGACCCAGATTTGGAGGGGATATTTGCATTGGCTGCTTTGTATAGCTGGTCTTCAAGCTAGAGTGTAACAGTATTAACTAGTTTTACAGGGAAGGCAGAAGTACTTCATTAACTAGGCACTAGGTGAACCTGGTTAGTTATGCACCAGATCAACCAATAAAGTTGGTCTGACATTTTTTATTTAGATTCTACTAGGTAGTCAAATTAATAGTTGTCATCAACATACAAACAGTATTTTCAAATAGAAACATTGAAAACAGTAGTTCAAAGAAATACTAAAAACTGGGTCAATTGCAGTCAATATGATATGCATAATGAAAATTTCTTTCTGAGAAAATACTTTAGTTGGTTTTGTTTTTTACCATCATATGGGTACTTTAATAAGCGTTTATTTGGAGAACGGCAAGTCGTAGTAAGTAGGAAGTTGAAGTATGGGGTTCTGCATAGTCTCTATTTTCAACGGGAAAGTATCAAAGTTCTTAGAAGTTGGCTTTCTTAAAAAAATGAAAGACAGGCACGCTCAATTATATTATCAACTTCTGTTTGACTTTGGATTTTCGAAGTAATTGTACCGTTACAACAAAGGCGATATGATTGGTTTTGGTGTTTTGGAATCTCGGTGACATGTGACAGAAAGCCTACACGGTGAAATTTGGTTGTAGATGATGTGTTTGAATTATAGTTTACAAAATTAATTGTGAATAAATTTGAATTTTCAAACTTGATTTTATTAAAAAACGAATTTGTAGTGAAGTGATTTTTATTTAAATATTTTTTTGGTAAATATTTTTATTTAAATGTTTAATTCTGTCCATACCTGTCTCAAATCCAATGCTAAAGCAATTATTTTTCACTGACTTAAATGATGGTTTAAGATCAAAATTATGTAAGATATCACCACTGAAATATTGTCAAACTTATTAGTTTAAGAGTAAACACTCTTTTTAGTCCTTGTCAACATCTACGAAGTTCTTTTTAGTCACTGGCAATAAAAAAGGACCAAATTGGTCCCTGAAATTAAAAAAAAAAGCCATGTTAGTCCTTATGTCAACTCCCAAATATGTAGAGTGGCCCTTTTCTTGTACTTTCAGGGACCAATTTGGTCCTTTTTTATTGTCAGGGACTGAAAAGGACTTCGTAGATATTGCCAGGGACTAAAAAGGGTGTTTACTCTTAGTTTAATGATAAAACTGTTTGTGTCAGATTATAAAAAAAAAACCTTACGGTTTCAACTTTTATATGGACAAACTATAATGCAGATATGGCACGTCATACCTCAGATTCTTATAATCTTAAATAATTATTTAGTTCAATAAAATCACAAATATAGGAAATAGTGATAAATATTTTAATTGGAATCCATGTTAATTTGACTATAAATTCTAGTTGAGCTAGAAAATTGTTAAGAGATTTTTACAGATACAATATATGTGTATTGATATGGATCTTCTAATGTTAAAAAAATATGATATGATTATGTGGAAAATCATAATCGTATAAAGATAAATTAATGATGATAATTTTGTAACTATTTATTTTAACATATATTTTTCTCTCTTTTTTTATCATCGTTGGCCACATATTACTATATCATAATTTTTGTAATATAAAATATTCAATCCTCGGACGTGTGAGAAACTAAAACTGAAAATCTTTGCAATTGTACCATCTTTTCTGGGTTTTTTTTCACCCGAATGGATAGCGGTCATGCTAAATAAATAAAGGAATTTGATTTTCTCTGAGAATTCAATTCTCATGTTGTGACTCAACCAGTGATGGTCTCATATTTATTAAAAAAAAAAAACTTTAGACATAAATCGAAGAATCACACTATAAGAATTGAATTCTCATGCAACCTTCTCGTAAATAAAACCAACAACAGCAAGTAATGCAAAATAGAAAGCAAAAGCTCGCAGGGGGAATTGGGAAAGGAAAACTATAGTCTTAAACACAGGATATGGTTAGGGACAGGGAATTTATGCTAGCCGTTAGTATTGACTTATGACAATCTTATCCAAGTCCCAGAAATCCACTTCGCTGTCGTCACTCTTCAGATTTTGGTCTTTTTTTTTTCTTTTATAATATTGATGTAAATTTCAAAACTTTTTACCGGATCCATGTGTTTGTGAAAACAATTTACTACAACGAAGAATTTATTTAAAAAAAAAAACCTAACTGCGGATAAATTTGTAAAATTAATCCTGCACTTAGAGATGGCAAAAACGAGTTAACCCGTCAGGTTGGCTCGCAACTCGTCCTAAATGAGTCGGGTTGGCCTAAATGAGCTGCCAACCCGACTCAACCTGACCCGATATAACCCAGACTCAAACGGGCCAGCTCGCGGGTCAAAAAAAATAATATGACTGTATTAAAAAAAATATGAAAACTTCAAAACTGTCATACGCTCACATCGTCGTCACTCGTCACTTTCCTTAACCCTAAGATTCTTCTGCCCCCTTGGATAGCTTGTTCACCTTGTTACCATTAACCTTGCATCTTCGGGTCTATTGGCCTATTCTCTTGACAAACCAATCCACTACTTTCAAGGTGCAATACCCTTTTCTCTATATTTCTCATCTTTCTTTTTTATTTTTCCCAAATATATATATGAAAATGGATTCATTGTTCTTCTTCTATGTTGTTGACATTATAAGATTTGTTACTTCAATCTTTTTTCTTTTTCCATTCTGGGTACCTTTGAAGAGATCAAAGTCGGAACCTTTTGGCAGTGTTGATAATTTTAGCAGTGTTGGAGAACAAATAAGACTAGTTCCACAAAAATCAATTTTTTGAGCCAACTACTCGCGAGCCAACCTGTGAGCCAACCCAGTGGCATCATTTCGAGCTAACCCGCGAGCTTTATTCCGAGCCAACCCGCGAGTTGATTATCGAGCCAACCCGCGAGCCAACTCTAACCCGGCTTAGGTCGGACTGGGTTGGATTTTCTGGCTCATTTATTTTTTCGGGTCAACCCTAACCCGACCCGTTTTTTACAAATTGAATGCGGGTTGGGCCGGGTTGGCTCATTTTGCCAACCCTACCTGCACTCACTCGACTGTTACAAAAATAGTTAATGATTTTTTTTTAATATGTATGAAGATAACATGTGAGAGAGTAATCTCAAATGAATAGAGTGCGGAACTATATGAAATTGATATTATATTTAACAACATCACTATTTCAAAAATTATATCAATTTGATCATTTATAAAGAGTTAATCCCCTTATTTATAGAGGGTGTCTTACCTAAGGGAGGGTTAGGTCCAATTTATCTAGTCAGACTTGGGACCCATAAGATGGGTCTAGATGTACATATTAAATATTATCTGTATTTGATTAACTATAATGAATATTTAAATGGTTAGCATGTGAATTAAATTACGTTAAACTTTCTAAAAATTTATGTAGTAATTAATTGGTTAAATTTTAGTAATTAGCAACATGTTAACTGAGGATTCTGTCCGCTTTGATCCCAGTCCAAGAGTGATTAGCATGTCCAAGACATATATTTCGCAGGCGGTTTGCAACGATGGGCGTTGCAGGGAGCTAAAGGTCAAACAAGCTGCACAAGGATCTAACGTTGATAGACATGTTCCCGATCTGATTGCACATCCAATACATGATCACCTCTTATGGGCAGGGTTTTGGCATGTTTCCCACATATGTCAATTCTTGATTTGTTAATTATTTTGTTGTCGTTTATGAATTAGAGGAGAGTTGATGAAATGAGATAGTGTATCTAGATTTTTGTGTGACCGCAAAATCCTCTTAAGTTAAAAGAAAAATTCTATAGAATAACAGTAAAGCCTGCAATGCTATATAGAGTTGAATGTTGGCCAACACATAGGCAACATGAGTATAAAATGAGAGTAACAGAGAGATGATGATGTTAAGGTGGATGTGTGGTTATACGAGGATGAATAAGATAAGAAATGAAGATATTCGATAAAAGGTAGAAGTATTACCGATGGTTGAAAAGATGAGAGAACATAGATTGAGGTGGTTTGAGCACGTAATGAGAAAGCCTCTGGATGCTCCTATAAAAATAAAAATTTGTTACCAAGAGCTCAACACAAACCGAAACTTACTTGGAGGAAGGTAGTAAAACAAGATTTAATGGAGTGGGATATAGATTGGCGGGTGTGCCTTAGAACGGAATGGAGAAAAGCTATAAGCATAATGGAGGGTTAAACTTGTTGTTACTCCTATGTTCCATATGGTCCCTTTTTAGTCCTTTTCCTCTTCATTTCCCCCTCTTCTTTTTTCCCCTTCTTATATATATATATATATATATATATATATATATATATATATATATATATATATATATTTTATTTTTTATTTTTCATCTTTTTTCAACATTTTCGTATTTTTTATTTGAGTTCATCTATCACCGACCCCAATTAATTTGGGACAAAAGGTGTAGTTGATGTTGATATTGTTATGAATTATAATTAAAAATTAAAAATTATGTAATATGTTTAATTTTCTTCAATTTCAGAATGATCATGCACGTATTAGTGCTATGATCGAGATGTAGCAATTTGGTGGTTCCTTTGCATGCCTTGGCTAAGGACATGACAGAATAGATTATCGGGTTGGCCTTCAACAGTTGGCTCCAACCCTCTTTTAACAAAATAGTGGACAAGTCTACTACAAGTTTACTTGACAAAGATAGTGATCAACATATTCTTAGCTCCCTTGAAAATTGTATTTATGGCCTCATGCAAGTTAATTGTCATTTGGCCATATCTTCGACCATTAACATCATAAGCACGAGTCAATTTCTCCTTTGGGATGCTTTCAATCCAATTAGCAACCTTTGGGCTAGTGTTGCATAATTCTTTATACCACATATCAAAATGAATTTTGAATGATGTATACCAATATACAAGACAAACAAGATTAGATTTGTCAGTAGCATTAGATCAACACATTCTTAATAAGCACAAATGGCCTCATTAAATCATTCTTCAACTTTGCATCTCTGAATCTTTGATTAAAATTGCTTGCAATGTGTCGAAGGTAAAAAACATGATAGGCCT